AGGTTGCCCTTGATCAAGAGTATCCAATTCTTTTATCTCCCGGGAAATGCCCAGCTAAAGGAGGCCAGGGGGGGGATAGTTTTCACGCGCAAGTCACGGGAAGCAATTTCGGCCGCCCCCCCCCCCCCCCCCCGACCTTCCTGCCTCCTCGGCCTACAAACCCGCCTCTTCTGCTCCCACCCCCCGCCCACAGGCTCCTCCCCCCGGCCCCCATTCTCATTCCTGGATTCGTTTGTCCTCTTTCGACCCCTTCCAGCCTTATCCCTTTTCTCCTTCACAAACCTTGTCTTGTGCTGTCTTCCACGCGCAGTATGCTCGAGCCTCGTGTGCGTTCACGTCGACAGGCCAGGAGAGAGGAAGGTCCACGATGTCGAAGATGACGCGCAGCTTGTACTGGTGAAGGCCAACCTGCACAAAGACGTTCAGGAGCAAACAAAAGCATATCCCTTCCTCCAACACGAATGGAAACAAATCAAGACAGTCACTCTCGCTTTCATACAGCATGTGCGAACCTCTCAGACGGTCAAGAGTCCATCGGGACACAAAAGAATTAGAAGAGCGATCAAGGCATGTTTGCGAGCAGAGCACGACAGAAAAGGTAACCAATAGACCATCACAGCAAGCATAGCAGCTGTATGCCCACCGGTCCGTTGGGAACCCAGAACGTCGGGAAGTGAACGTTGCGGAACACGCGCCATTGCCAGCCCGCCTCCGTCCAGTAGTTGCGGTTGGCGTAGCCCCCTGCCCGCACAAACTCGAGGAACTCTCCGTTGGTGATGAGGAACTTGGAGACAGAGAACGGGTTGACTTGAAGCTTTCTCGTGCCGTACCTAAACCCCCCAGTTAGCTTCCCCCTCTTCCACTCGGCGCATCTCGCTCACTCGTTGTCCCAGCCGAAGGACGGGAAGTCACGCGGCTTTCCCAGCTCGACCTCTCCCCCTGCAGCTCAGTCAGCTCTCCGCGAGCTGGAGGCGGAAACGAGGGGCGACCTGAGAAATGGACCATCTCGTTGGTCACGAGCTTGGAGGAGCTTCCATCGGTGGCAGAGGGGTGATAGTCAGGGAACTGAACCATGGGTCACGAAGAGGCAGAGAGACACCCGCAACACTCCCACCTGAGCTGGGCGGGTGACGAGGTACGCTGGCAGCTCGCGGATCAGCACGGAGGAGGTCTCGAGATGAATGCGCTCGTGCTCGAAGCCCATGACCTTCGGGGCAGCAGGAGTTAGTCGCTCGTGACTCCTCAGCTCCACATCAGCTCACAATCGCCCATGCAGGGTCGTCGATCTTGATAGGGAACGACCAGTCTCCGTTGAGAATGACTGCTCCATCCTTTCACCTCCTAGCCTCAAGCGCCCTCCAATCCCTTACCGTCCTTGACAATGTTGTACACCGTTCGACGGTACTCCGTCACCTCGCGCAGGTCCGGCCACTCCATCTCGTTCTTCGAAAGATCGTCCCAAGACCTGCTCGAGATCAGACGTGCCCTGGCAAGCCTCTAGCTTCTCACATCTCATCAACGCCCGTCTCCATAATCTGCTCCATGTACTCGTTGACGCCCTGACAGGGTAGTTATCAGTTGAGCTCGCAGGGGCAGAGCATGCCAACAGCAGAAGGCTGAGAGTGATGATATGCTGCAAGACAGTATGAAAATCACCTCCTTGAGGAGTCCAGCCACTCGGAACTTGTTGATGTACAGGCAGGCAACGTGGCCATAATAGAAGATGAGAGGATGACGAAGTTGGTGCCAGGGGCTTCGAAGGAACACATCCCTTCCCTGCGAGCAACTCCTCACGCAAACATACAAAACGAGTAGAGACGAGATGGAAATCTTACCATGAGGCCAGAGAAAAGAACCTCCGTCAAGGTCCACGTGTTGTCGAAGTAGTCGAGCAAGCTCTGTCGTGATCCCTTCTCGCAGTCCGGGAGAGGAAGGGACGTGATCTTCCCGTTCGCGTCAACTCCAGGGCACACGCCATGAACAGGAGGCTTGCCGGTCCACCTACAACAAGGCATGAGCGAAGCAAACCCGACACAAAGAGCAAAGGAGGAGCGAGCAACAAACGTTGTAACATGTTCGAGCAAAGACAGACGAGCTCTCGTACCAGGAATCGGGCTTGGGATAGCTGTAGTCATCTGGGGAAGAGGACGAAGTCGATGACGCGAGGGGCTTCGCGCCCTGGAGGTTCATGAAGAGGTCGCGGTTGGGGTTGCGATGAAGCCCCTGCATGTCCTGCTGCATGGCGGTGATCTGAGGCCGATGTCTCCGGGGTGGGGTTATATGTTTAATTTTTGGGTGGGGTGGGTTCTTCCATCAAGAAGAGAGGGGGTGGATTGCAAGAGATAGACAGGGGTAGATGTCACGCTAGATCCGATAGTTGCACTCTCAGGGGGGTGGGGTGAAACAGTCATTGCAGAAGGGTAGGGTGGTCTCACTATGGAGGACAGTCAGGACCCTTTAGAACAGCCTGCTCGGGGGAAAGGGGTGGAATGTAGGTCATCAAGACACGGGTCAAGAGACCTTGACACGGAGGGGGTGGGGTAGTTGAATCGGCGAGATTCGCCGAGATGAAAAATAAGATCTCCGGAGGAGGGGTGGTGGCGAGTTAAAACGGGGGCCACCACGGGTACCTTCATCGAATGTTTGCAGGGGTTGTAGATGGAGAAGGGTGGGGGTACGGATGGGGGAGGAATCATTAATTGGACAGGGTGTGGTAGTTAGAGGTGTAGAACAATTTGCTCATGTGGCGGGGTACTTACTGGAAAATGAGTAGGTGGGGGTGATAAAAGTGATATTCTGAGGGTCGGGTACTCGGCTGGACGAACTCAACACTTAAAAACAAGGCCACCCCTACCACCCAAAGATATTCTCTTTTATGGCGGGGTGGGGTGGCTTGAACCCTCAGGGTCTTATATGACGGCGGGTCCTTGTAACTCCAGGTGGGTCGAAAGTACCCCTGCATTATAGGTGAATTTCAAGATCAGGGTGGGGGTAGTGACCCATAGATATAAAACAGTGAACATAAGTGACAAGGCTAGGGGTGGGTCCAGGGGGGTCCGTCAGCAGGGAAGCCAGCGGCCTGGTGCTGCCTTTCAACTCGGGCCCGGCCGGGAATCTTTCCGGTAAGGTGAGGTGCGCGGCTTGCGGCACTGAGAACCAGCAAAATTACCTATGCTCAAAGAAAACTTTACTCAGAGTAAAACTATTACGCGGCCTCCTCGTCATGGTTGGCAGCAAGATTGTGCTCGCAGCCACAGCGCTGGCATTGACGGCGCCTGAGCTTGTCATGTGAGTCGAATGCGACGAGATGATAACGCAAACGTGTGTGAGAATGAGTGTTGCAAGATACAAAGCGTTGAGAAGCGCTACCAGAGGAAATGTGTTTTCCGCAGGGGGTGTTCAAGTTGAGACTAACCCCTTTGCTTGATGTCGATGATGATTCAGTGGCGCTGTCTTGTCTCTTTCATCATTCTTCTCATTATCTACCGCATGCAGGGCTTTCTCGCCTTCTCTTATCTCACCGACCAACTTGGCGGTGTCAGGCAAGGTAAACCACACTCGCACACTGCAAACGTGGGTTTGATGCATGTAAACCCACAGGCCAGTGTCTCTCTCTCTCTTCGGCCGAGCTCTCGCTCCTCCGTTGCTCTGAAAGCTGGGGTATCGATGACGCATTTCCTTTGGGTTACAGCTCACTCTGAACTCTCCGAGCAGGAAGATGGCGGTTTGTTTGGAGGGATTTTCGGAGGAGACAAGAAGAAGGGGAACAAGGATGACCTCGAGGATGCAATTGATGGTACGGCCATTTCTTCACATTCGTTTTCTGATGACTGAGCTGCATGCAGACTGGAAGGAAATCGGGTTCGACATTGAGGAAGTTATCAAGAATGAGGAGGATGCGAAGAAGAAGAAAAACTGAATGATCTCTGACCTTCAAGCGTAACCAGGCTGACGAAACGAAACTATCTAGAAAACTCTTGTTCGTATACAACGGAGTTCACATTTGGCGATCTTTTGCGCTTCAGTCTGGATAGTTTCAGACATTGAGGCACACCACTAACAATTGATCCTCCCTCGCATTATCATCCAAGATGTTGCTAAATGCAGATGCACGTTCCCTGGCAGCGCAACAGCCTTTCGGCATCTTCTCGCTCTCAGTACGGAATAACTGCATCAACGTCCGCACCTATCGAAGTAGCATGTTCCTCCTACGCTCACTCTTTCTGTCCTCCATTCTCCTCCTCCTCTGCCTCTGCCTCCTCCTACTACCTCTCCTACTCCTTCTCCTATCCCCCTCCTCTGCCTCCTCCCAGCATTCTTCCTCTTCCTCCTCCTACTGCTCCTCTCCTTCCGCTGCCTCTGCTTCTCATCCTCCTCCACGCAGTTGGGAGTAGATGTGATCTAGATGACTCTAGTGCGCTGAAAGTAGTCACCACAAGCGCATCTGACGAGTTGGGTGGTGGTAGGGGTAGTGTCTGCGTGTGATAGCTTACTTTGGGGTAGGGTCATGTCTATCACAATTTCGATTCACCACCCGGTGGTCAAGAAGGTACCCCTCAATTTAACCTTTAAATAGCTTTGGATGGTGGGTACACGTTGGAATCAATGTCGAGGCTCAGCACTGGGGGGTACAAGAAAGGCTAGGGGTATAGTTAGTGGGGTACTCCTAGGAGGGGTGGGGAGGAAGTCGCAGGATAACGGTTGGCATGGTAGTGCGGAAGGCCATGGACCGAGTTGACAGGAGGACAAGGGAGGGACAGACACATCAACCCATCGTCCAGCACTCTATCATCTCACTTTCGTATCTCCTCATCATCTCACCCCGCTCATCGCTCTTACCTCATCACATTGCCTTCCAGCCTGGTCAACCCCTTTCTCTCACAACTGCTCTTCCCTCACTTGCTCTTCATCGAGCACCTTGCTGCAAGCATCCGTGATCAAAACTACAGGACAAGATGATCTGGCTGGCCTGGTTTTATTTCCTCTCTCACCTCTGTGTATTCCCTCAGAACCCGCATCCCTCTCCTCGCCCCCAAAACCTCCACCCAAGGGAACAACAAGAACTGCTAAGACTGAAGCAAGCCACCTTGATCTTCCAGTCTCTTAACGCAATCTTTGACTCAGATGGTTGAGATCACCACTAGAGGGGAGGCGAACGAGAGCCGACCGGCCAAGATCCCAGGTCGAACTTGGAGGAGTAGAAGTAGGGGGGCGAAAGACTGAGAGTACCATTCGCAGGCTACCGCGGACATGTGCCATACATTCGCCATCAGGTCGGCATGACGTACAGCAAGTCAGTGCTGGAAGCGCAAGACCCATCCGTTCGCTCGCGCATCACCTCGCACTCGATCCTCAGCCACCGTCACGATGGTTACACTATCCCAGGCGAGGCCGCTGGTGGGCGGGAGGGCGGGAACGTGACAGTTTCGCAGGTCATGAAGACTTCCCGTTCAAGGAGGAGATCTACCGAAAGCGCCCGGAGAGCAACGCGACGATCATCCCTCACTACCAGGGTCACTGCCCCAAGTGGCAGAGGACGTACGGGAAGACGATGGGGGCCTATAGCTCAGCAGTGATGACAGATTTCCTCAACCGAACGAGAGAAACGGCTCGATCTCCTCGGGTCAAGACTCCTTCCTCAACCATCTCTGCCATGCCGGACTCAGTGAGCAAGGGCGAGACGAAGAAGCTCTACGATGATCGGGGGTTCATCCCCGGTACCATGCTGTACGTTCGGGGCATCTCGGAGAGGTTTGGACAGAGCACATCGAAGCTGTCGAGGCAAGCGTTGTTGGAGCCTGTGATGAAACCCTGGGCCCCGCTGACAGATCCTGTCGATGGAAAGACCATTGATCATCTTTCTCTTCACCCAAGTTACAGTGGATTCATTCCTCGCTGCCTCCCCGCCTTTTACAGACGTGATTCTGCAAAGCCGTCTCAGGGGACAGCGATCCACCATGAAGCGCATGATGCGGTCGAGGACAATAATAAGGATGATGCTGAAAACCAAGCTAAAGAGGATGAAGGAGAGTCGACGAATCTGGAAGACGAAGAGTAATGGAAGTGAATGAATAGTTACGGTGTTGCTCTGATCGCAGTTTTTGCAACCATGGACATTCAGTGAATCCTTGTTAAATAAAAGGCTTTTGAGAAAGAGAAATAATCTTAGCAAAAGAGCAGGCAGATATTTCATTTAAATCAGCTTGGCCCTAATAAAACAAGTTCCTAATCACAAAATCAGTTTAGACGGGGTCCTACTTGCCTGTACGGCCACCTCCTTACCCCCAGCTGCCTGCACACAAGCTTCATCGTCGACTTGCCGATGCCGATCTTGGCCGCCGCGACCTCGAGGCTCTCGTGGAAGTGACAGGACAGCAGCTCCAGGGTGATCTCCACGGGCTTGTCTGACCTGGCATGTGCCTGGCGGGATTGTATGCGGACGACGCTGCAGAGCTTCGGAGATGCCTTGGCGGGAGGGGTCTGGGCCGCGAGGGAGGGAGGGACCGAGGATGCGCACAGCAGCGGAGGCGACGGGGAAGCCCATGCCGAGCCTGACCCTGACGATGGTGATGGGGGGCGAGCTGAAGGCATCTGAGACACGCTGCAGTCGTCGGGGATGGGAGGGGGGCAGTGGGTAGGGGAAGAGCTGGAGCAACGCGCAGTCGTCAGGGATCATCGAGAGAGGCGAAGGGGTCCGGGGGGGAGGAGGAGGAGGAGGAGTCTTGGAAGTAGAAAGACAGGAAGTGAGGGTCAAGGGGGAGGATGAGGGCGGGCTGTATCAAGTCTTCCATGATAGCAGGAGGGGGGGGCGGAGGTGGGGGCGTGCTATGGGGCAGTGGAAGGGAGGGCACGTAGGTGGCGGGGTGAAAGGGGAATATGAAGACCTCGTAATTTTTTATTTCGGCTGCGGTTGTAAAGGTTAGAAGAGCCCCTACCTCCCCTGTAACAGACTTTTCCTGATAAAGAAGGGGTAGGGGTTGGTATAGGACGCAAGATCTGAAAGTGGAGGCCACGAAGGGTTGTGCTTTTGAGGTCAGAGATAGGAAGCGGTGTGCTTCAATCAAGATCTTGAGATTGGAGGCCAGGAAGCGTTGTGTTTTCTAGGCTACATGCGGAAAATTGGCACTGTCAGGTGCGGCGGCAAGTTGGGCTAGTAGAGTTGGTCGGGCCGTTCACCGTCTCAGTGAACCCGGCCCGTTCCTGGCAGTGGCCCCAGGGCCGCACTCCCGGCGCCGCCGGGGCCGGGGCCGGGGCGGGCCCGGCCGGAGTCCGCGCCGCGCACAACGATCCAACCGTGACCGTGACCGTTCAACGATTTGTCGAGTGGCCCGTCTCAGTCTGACGGACCCGCGGGGCGGGCCCGCGGGCCGGACCGTGACACGGTGCCAGACCACTGGTACGAACCGTTCGGTTAGCGCATTTCGGGCCGAACTTTCGGGGATGATTCAGCCTGTACCCCGCGGCGGGTCCCGGCGATCACTCGCCGCGCGGCCGGGCCCCGGCGGCCCGGCCACTGACTCGGATCGGACTCGCGGCAGGCGGAGTCCGAGGCTACCCGGGCCGCCGGCCCGGTCAGTACTGTCGTAGCGGAATGTACGCCGTGGGTGACCGTGCCGGCGGCGGCGGTCCGACCGAGTCACTCAGGGCCCGGATGATGATACGGTACGGTCGGACCCCGCGGTGCCACGAGTCCGTCGGTTGCCACCCCAGCGGTGCAGTCACCCGTGGCCCGGGCCGGAACCGTCGTGCCCGGCCTCAGAGCCGCTGAGCCTCCTGCGACCTATACTATCCGGAGTCCGGCCTTCGCAACTTGTGATCATCCGAGGCTGGATTGGATTTGACGGCAGCGGGATGCCGTCCGATCATCGGGCTGATCGACGGTGTGCAGTGCGGCGGCCACTGGCACGGTTTACTGCCGACTTCACGATAAAATGATCCCGGTCCTTCTATCATGCCGTTGCTTAAACGATCATCAGGACAGAAACAAAAAGACACAGGCCACGTCAAAGCTTCTGATCCATCGAGAGACTGGCAACGAAAACATATGTGACAGTGACCATCGTGTTTATTCCGACAATAATACTCCTAACTGTATCCGATCACAAGGCGTCCTCTAGTTGACCCAACGAAGCCCTGCCCGAGATCCTACTTGCCTGTACGGCCACCTCCTCACCCCCAGCTGCCTGCACACAAGCTTCATCGTCGACTTGCCGATGCCGATCTTGGCCGCCGCGACCTCGAGGCTCTCGTGGAAGTGGCAGGACAGCAGCTCCAGGGTGATCTCCACGGGCTTGTCTGACCTGGCGTGCGCCTGGCGGGATTGTATGCGGACGACGCTGCAGAGCTTCGGAGATGCCTTGGCGGGAGGGGTCTGGGCCGCGAGGGAGGGAGGGACCGAGGATGCGCACAGCAGCGGAGGCGACGGGGAAGCCCATGCCGAGCCTGACCCTGACGATGGTGATGGGGGGCGAGCTGAAGGCATCTGAGACACGCTGCAGTCGTCGGGATGGGGGGGGGGCAGTGGGTAGGGGAAGAGCTGGAGCAACGCGCAGTCGTCAGGATCATCGAGAGAGGCGAAGGGGTCGGGGGGGAGGGAGGAGGAGGAGGAGTCTTGGAAGTAGAAAGACAGGAAGTGAGGGTCAAGGGGGAGGATGAGGGCGGGCTGTATCAAGTCTTCCATGATAGCAGGAGGGGGAGGGAGAGGGAGAGGCGTGCTATGGGGCAGTGGAAGGATGGGAGCAACGGGGCGTGGAGCAGCAGTGGTGTGGCTGTCTCTTGAGGGAGTTGTTGGGTCGGGATGGGTTTTGATGACTCCGGAGGGGAGGATATCACTGCAGTTGTAAAGGTTATAAGAGCCCCTACCTCCCCCTACACCCGATTGCTCCAGTAGAAACGGTGGTAGGGGGTTGTCCACTCGAAAGTGGAGGCCACGAAGGGTTGTGCTTTTGATGTCAGAGATTGGAAACGATGTGTTCATTGCAATCTGAAGATTGGAGGCCAGGAAGCGGTGTGTTTGTACATGTAGTACTTTTCTGCCCGCCGCCACGAAGTCATGGCCCATCGTGAGACGACAGGGCAGCAATCATGTAGGCTAATTGTCAGATTGCTGTCCCGCTATTCTGAGTAAAGTACCATAGCCGGAGGCTCGGAAACGGACACTTTGATCAGGCGTGGGGAAATGTCGTACTGATTTTTAACTTAACTTTGAGTAAAGGACTAGGTTCATATCCATGTGGATCCAAAGCCATCGTACGGATACTTCCTACTTAAACGGACGCGTCGTTAGCGTTCCCCCTCCTTCCTTTGCCATTTCGTGCGCAGCAAGCACGATGCTTTTTAGGAGCTTATCTCAAGAAAAAATGAGAGACCTCGATCTTCTGATTCTCTTCTTCTCTCGTTCTTATTCCACTCGTAGCGTTCTCTGTCTTACCATTGTACCATGACTACAGCAATACTCAAAGAACGCGACGCCAGACCTTGATGATAGCAAAGAAATCCAAGCCTCTCACTCAACGCAATCGGATCTCGAAGATACTGATTCATAGAGCATCGCATGTTTATTCACACTGGCATACTTCCTCTTCTAGTCAACCAAATACAACCGGCCTGCACGGGTCCCCACATGCCTGTACGGCCACCTCCTCACCCCCAGCTGCCTGCACACAAGCTTCATCGTCGACTTGCCGATGCCGATCTTGGCCGCCGCGACCTCGAGGCTCTCGTGGAAGTGGCAGGACAGCAGCTCCAGGGTGATCTCCACGGGCTTGTCTGACCTGGCATGCGCCTGGCGGGAATGAATGCGCACGACTCCAGAGGGTTTGGCAGGAGGGGTCTGGGCCGCGAGGGAGGGAGAGGCCGAGCAAGCAGAGGTTTGACCCCAAGGATTCTGAAGGAAAGTGCCAGGGTCCTCGTTGGGAATCGGCTGAAGTGGTCTCTCAGAAGTTGCGAGCTGGAGGCGGTCCCAGAGAGTGTCGTCGGGATGGGAGGGGGGCAGGGGGTAGGGGAAGAGATTGAGCAGAGAGGAGTCATCAGGATCATCGAGAGGGGGAAGAGGGTCAGTTAGAGGGGTTGAGGTCGAGGCAGTAGAAAACTCGGCAGGGGGCAGGATGAGGGAGTGGGCGTGCGTGGAAGATGGGAACGTGTTGAAGCATCGCAGCATGTCCACCATATTTGATGTGCAAGCAGTGAAAGGGGGCGATGGAATGAAAGGAAGGGAAGGGAGACGCTGAAACGTGTCAGGGTTGGTGAGGGATGGCGGTGGGAGAAGGGATCAAAGAAAAGGAGGTGGAGGACTTCCGGTCGCATTCCTAGCCCAAATCTCCGTGTAGTCAAAATAAGAACGCAACGATTCAACGGTCACGGATCACGGGCTACAAGCGAAACGACGGGTCTTTTCAACGTTTAAGTGACTCCTTGCCCTTTTGGGCGCAACGTTTGTCGGCGCCTGTCATAAAAAGATACATTGATAGCAATGATGACATCATGATGATTGCAGTGGTGGTCTCCGTGTCCTCATCCTGATGTGAATATCACACCGCTTCCTGGCCTCCAATCTTCAGATTGAGCTCTCCAATGCGACCGGAAGTCCAGGGGCCTGTGGATCTATTATTACAACCCATTACAACCCTTCAAGAAAAGGACATAATCAACAAGCAACGCTTCGTGGCCCCCGATCTTGAGATAAACATAATTAAGAGCATTTCGAATCTCAAAGATCAGAAACATACAACCCTTCATGGCCTCCGATCTCGAGGCCCCCATAACCCGCCTCTTTTAAGTTTCGTGGTTGGCACTGCGAGGCCTTCATCACCCGATGCTCGCCATGCAAAACGCTCTCTCCTCCTCCTCCCTCCCCCCCGACCCTTTCGCCTCTCTCGATGATCCTGACGACTGCGCGTTGCTCCAGCTCTTCCCCTACCCACTGCCCCCCTCCCATCCCGACGACTGCAGCGTGTCTCAGATGCCTTCAGCTCGCCCCCCATCACCATCGTCAGGGTCAGGCTCGGCATGGGCTTCCCCGTCGCCTCCGCTGCTGTGCACATCCTCGGTCTCTCCCTCCCTCGCGGCCCAGACCCCTCCCGCCAAGGCATCTCCGAAGCTCTGCAGCGTCGTCCGCATACAATCCCGCCAGGCGCACGCCAGGTCAGACAAGCCCGTGGAGATCACCCTGGAGCTGCTGTCCTGCCACTTCCACGAGAGCCTCGAGGTCGCGGCGGCCAAGATCGGCATCGGCAAGTCGACGATGAAGCTTGTGTGCAGGCAGCTGGGGGTGAGGAGGTGGCCGTACAGGCAAGTAGGATCTCGGGCAGCAAGGTGGTACACGGAAGAGTACAGCAGTTTTTCACACAAGTGAACGAGCAGTGTAAATTTGGAAGTCTTCTTGAAACAATAAATCCGTCTGTGCTATAGACTGGTTGTAGTGTACATGTTTCTCCCTCTCTTCCTCGTTTTGTCATCATTACAGGTTCCCTGTTACCTCGCTCACGAGAAGTAGGTGGGTGACGCTAGCAAGTTGGTCAACGCCGTCAGCTGCTCTTCAGTGAATCGTCCTTTGAGCACAGGCCAAGCATCCTACGTCATGGCTGTTAATCTTCTCAAGCCCAAGAGAGATGAAACACACCTGATGAGTTCTCCAAAACTCCCCAAAGGTGTTGCGAACAGTGTGCTTGATTGGCATGGGGTCAAGCACGTGGAGTGCCTGAATGTCATATCAATGAACGAAAGAAAGAAGGGAAACGTTGAAGAAAGGCAGACAAAGATAGTAACCAAGGTATCAACCAGGTCATCCGAAGCAGGGGAAAGGGGTGGAGCGAATCAAGAGCGAATAGGAGAGGAGGGGGCGCAGAATGGAGCCTACCAACTGTACGAGAATTTCCGGCATCCACTGTGGCACATCGTATGGATATGCTCCAACCAGAGCAGACAAGCCGAGCACCTATTGATGGTTACAAGACACGCTACCATGCCTCCTCCACCCCTCACCCCAGCGTGGCGAAGCTGCAATGAAGCCTTCAGCGCCTTCTTGTCGCTACTGTCTTCCCCAGCTTTCCCTTCCCTCGCATCGTCAACAGGCTCGCCTGCCCGGCCTTGCATGCTCGAGATGTCGTGCTGCGACCACTGGACGAAGAGAGTCTTCAGGTCCATGGCAAGCTCCTCCCCTGTAATGCGGACCAGAACCTTGCAAGGAGGGTAAGGAGCGGGAAGGGTGTGGCCGTAGCTCACCGAGACCGCAACGGAGGCCATCTCGCGCACTTCTACTTGAGAGTCTTGAAGCAGCGAAACCATAAGGTCTTGCACCATCTTCATGTCCTCCTTCCTGATGGAGCATCTGAGGCGCACCCAGGGTTAAGGAGCGATTCAGAAGCGGGTCAAGGCATACTGGTGCCGGAAGATGATGATCTGCAGGAACGGGAGGACGCTCGACCTCACTTGCCACGACTGTGACTTGGAGACCTGGAGTGACGTCAGCACGCAGAACGATCGCAGAGTCCTGTCCCACCGATCGAACAGCCAAGAGGACGTGCGGCAAGACCTGACAAGGAGATAAGGTGAGCTGGCAGAGCTCAGAGAGGGGAAGGTCGACCTCATCGACGATCGGTGTATTTGCCGTGAGCTCGGCGCATCCCTTCGCTTGCCGAAGCAGTTCTGTCTAGGTCGTTAGCCGGCCATGCCTCGGGTTCTACGTGCGCACCTGGATCTTTGTCGTCCAGAGCTTGCAAGAGGGGGGGGAGGAGAATGGGAAGGAAGGACTCGACTGGACAGCCTTGCCAAACGACCCATCAAACATCGAGATGAGCAAAGGTTCTACTTACGGTACATCGCCTCGTACTCGGGACAGACAGAGCAAGTCCACGTGATGAGAGTGTGTCGAAGATGCCGAAGTTGAACGCGGGAGTCCTTCATGGCTTGTTCCTCGGCCTCGTCCTGCGGATTACTTGGGTCACTTCCAGCATAAACAAGTCTCTCCCTCCCTTACCGAGCAATTCTTTCCGTCGCTCATGTACTTGCAGCGATTAGCCAACGTTGACCACTCCCGTGCGCACTTGTCCACGAGGCGGAGCATCGTCTCAGACCCGATGAGCTTGCACTCTGTGTGAGGTGGGGCTTCCAGCAGCTCAGACATCCCAGCTTGCCTCGAGCAGCACAGAAGGTGCATATGGTGCGACTGTTCCGATGACAGGTGCTCAGCATCAGCTGGAGAAGGCATGGAGGCGAACTCCCTAGGTTCCCATGTGACCCTGGAGAGAACTGACAGGATGGAGCCGACACAAGCACGCATCTGAGCGTAAGGATGGTGCAGGTAAGGCTCAAGGTCGTGCGCGATCTGCCGGTGGATCGGCCCACCCCGCCATCCCAGCTCCTTCAAGATCGGCTTGACAAGGATGATACGTTTGCACGTGAGGATGGAGTGCGAGGAGAGATCGATGTGGGCTGGAAGAGCTCGCTCCACCAGGAACTCGACCAACCATGAAGTTCGTCTCGGATGGCGATCGTACAAGCAGAACCTCAGGCAAGCTGCCCATATCCCCACGCTCTCCAGCTCGGGTGTTGCTAGCACGTAGGAAATGAGCTGGAAAGCCATACCCTTCGCCTCCTCTTGGTCCTGCTCCGGCCAATACTTCATGCCCCTCACCAACCCGCCCAGCAACTCTGAAGCGAGGCACTGCTTCCCGATGTACACGTCAGAGCTCTCATGGGAGTAAGCCTGGGCGTCAGCTAGAAGTGCCTCGAGGAACGTGCGGAGCTTGGTGATCACCTGCAAGCCGAAGGCTTTCAAGAGACCCTTGAACATCTGTGCATGAGACCCGATGAACGACTTTCCTCTCCCCAGCTGGACTACAGACATGAAGGAGCAGAGCTTCTCGATGTACTCGTCGTTGCAGAAGTACTGCATAATACATGCCCGCACCTGCTCGGAGTACTCCTTCGTGACGACCTTCTTCCGAACGTTGGAGTTCCACTCAGTGAAAGAAGCTTTGGGAGGCGGGCCGTTCCAGTGAGTGAAGCACTTGTCCGGCAACAGGCGATTGCCGAGAAGTGATTCTTCTTTGCTCCGCTGAGTAGTCTGAATCAGCTCGAGCGCGCTGCTGAGAGCAGGAAAGCACGCCTCTCGGATGTGAGATATGTCGGATACCATGCCGTCAAGAATCGCCTCCCACACGGAGATCGGAGTGGGCACATCGTCTCTGATCATGACAGTGACCGCATCGATGATCATGAGCTTGAACCTCCAGTGCACGTTAGGGTTCGTCTTGAGAAGGGCGACGAGAGCCTCGAGCATGCGGGAGTAGCCAACAAACGGTACCGTTGACTGCTCCAACTTGATAAGAGACTCGTCCCAGTGCACGTAAGCCGGGATGTCAAGAGAGATCTGATACCAGTACGAAAGGAATGTTGCGAAGAGGTTGTCCAGCGCATCGAGAACGCTCTCTTTGTCGTTATGATGACTTCGACACAGGGTGAGAAGAAAATGCTCGATCATGCTCCAGTCCCGTAGGATTCTACCTTGGAAGTACTTAGTTTGAAGAAGGATAGTCGCTCCGATGATGCGCTGCTCGTGTCCAGCAGCATCTACATTCTTGTCCTCGAGGAGAGAGATGAGACGAGGAAGGGAGTACGCGCAAGCGTTCCTGTACCTCCGGCAGCAAGACAAAAGTGCAAGCTGACCACGTCCTCTAACACCAGAATGCTCGTTTGTCGAAAGGAGGTTAACTTGTTTGAGGAGGTTCTGCACCAACAGAGAGTCATGAAGTTTGCGATGTCGCAACATAACGCGAGAAAGGTAATGATGATGAATCTTCGTGAGGAGCATGTAGCGGGGGAGCAGTTTTGCCTTGCCATCTGTCCCAGTCTCTCTGTTCCTTGCTTTCATGATGGAGTATCTGAGCCTTAGACGTCTCGTCTGCTTCTGCAAGATGTCAACTCCATTCATGCAGACGTCGAGGCACTTTGCCAAGGCCTTCAACATCTTCGAGTCTTCGGAGTTCTGCTGGAGGAAGAGCGTGTTGAGGTCATGAAGGATGCTTGCGATACGCGAACGAGACAACAACCCATCCTTGCCGATATTTGAAACATCAACCCTTGACTTTGGGAGGTCGTAAGTGCCAGAGGCATACCCCTCATTCCCAGGCAAGAGCTCACGCTCGTCGTCATCCAGATCTCCGTCCAACTGCATTTCCGAAGAATCCTCTCTCCCCTCGTCCCATGCAGGCAAGGCTGCCACAAGTCCTTCGAGCACGAATCGCATCTGGAGGACTGCATAACGTGCCTCAATGGACGTTGGCGAGCCTCGTGATCCATCCTTCCTCTTCGCCCTGTCGCTGAATCCCCTGAGACTGCTCCGCCGACAGCTCTGCCGTTGGGAGCTCAGGATGTGCGCCGGGATCTCGAGCTCCTTCAACTTGGCAAAAGCAACCTTGCTCTGTGACTTGCGCTGCTTCTGCGCTGGCTCAACAGCCTCGTCCGCAGCGGCATCGGAGTCCATCATCACGATGTCGTTGTCAGAGTTGAGGTCCAGCACACAAGGGGACGGGCTGCCCTCGTCTGACTCTGAGAGAAGGAGAGCCGTCAGACTTCCTGGCACGTGATCGATGCATCCGAGCTTACCTTTGGGTTGAGCTGCTTCGACCTCCATGTCCTCCTTATGATTCGCCCATTCTTGCGCGTCGGCATGATACCGTCGGAGGACTTGAACAGAGTTGTTGATGTACTTGGCAGCAAGATCCGCTGCCCACTGCAGGCCTTCGCGCGACGGGGCATTCCAACTGACGTTCGCTGCAGACAGGTCGATCACGTTTCCCCAATGCTCATAGTGTACGTTCTTCCAGTTGGGGTCGTTCCAAAGAGTCGGGTCTACCGAGCGATACTCCTTGGGTCGACAAGTGATGAGGGCGTGGATAAGGGACCGGATGAGCTTGTTGGCAGCCTTGAAGACTTGCAGTGAAATCACTCCCGGCCGCTCCTCATACTTGAGAACAAGATCCACGGCAGCAACGACCTTATCGATGTACGGGATCACTGCATCCCCGGCATTCTCCACGACATATCGCATGATGTTGAGATAGTAGATGATCTCCATCTCAGACAACAGTGCAAGTCTGAACACAACACCTTCAACTGGACAAAACAAAGGAAGTGAGGGAGAAGAGCGGATCAAACATGAGAAGCAAGTCAAATCCAAACCTTTTCCGTCAGCATTCAGCATTGGGCTTTCGACGTCCACAGATCCCATCCCATGCGTCATTGGAGGCGAAGCCCAGGAAAGCCCAGGAGATTTGGAGGCACTTGCAGCGCGAGTGAAAGAACGAGCAGAGCCTGGAGTTCTCGGTGTCCGAGGAACACTCTGTCGGAGACAAGTCAGAGTAAAGCATTTCACAGCCACTTGCACAACATCGTAAGGCGAAACCAGAAGTATCCGCAGGCACACTGGCAAGAACTTTTGAGCAACGACACTGGGATTGACTGCAGTCATCGCTGATATGACGACACCGAGTTGTGCCTGTTGCTGCAACAAAAGGAGGTTTGTGAAGCAGAAGTTGGCGACCTTGTTCAGAGCAGAAACGAAGAGTTCATCTCCGAGCTGCATGAAAAAGACTTCAAGTGTGCAGTTAAAAAAATACTCTGATGTGCGAGTCTCTGAGTCCGCCTTCTTCGTGTGTTCATGGCCTTGCGGGGGCGCCATGGAGTTGTGGTTTGAGATGAAAGAGAAAGTCTGATCTAGAAATCTGAAAGCCCAGTCTGCAAATGTATCTGTGACTGCCCTTGCCACTTCATGCCGATCAGGGTCATATCCAACAGGACATGTCTGTTTCAACCCATCAGCACAACACACGGACCTAGCAATCTCACCTCGGTGATGGTTATGAGAGGCAGACCAGACAACAGCACAGTGTAAAAGCGAAGGGTGGCCCAAGTCTTGGGAAGATCATTCGAGTCGATCCCCGAGAGTGTAAGCTCCATCAAATCTGGAATGTGTTTGGCTCCCGACTCGAAATTCCCTGCACGTATAACAGGGAAGATTACTGCTGCCAGGGCCTCTAGGGCACTCGAGGTCTGGTGTACTTGAGTCAAGGTTGTCAACGCATCAGAAATGCGATCCAGCAGGGGAGGGAGAGTGTTGTTAGGGTCAAGGCTTGCAAGATACTTCAGTGCCACACAGGACTGCAGGGTCGCTGTGTTGCTCTTCGAGTAGAGCCCCTGTAGGGCAACGGGCAGGATCAACCTTGCGATGTTGCTGATGTCACTGGGTTTCAATTTGTAGCTCTCGCTGTCAGCAACATCGCGCTCAGCACGGACTCTTTCCATAAGATATTCGCACAATGAAGCCAGCAGCTGAGACAGCCTGTGAGTCCAGTAACCGCCGTTGGAAGGATGCAGGTAGGACTCAATCGCTCGGATTATCTTGCCCAACATACCAAGCGGCTCCCCTCCTCCTGGTTGCTGCAGGTAGATGATCAACTTGGCAGACTTGTGCACAAGTTGCAGAATCTTAGTTCGATTGTCGTCGAGGTGCACGAAGCTTGCCAAGGAATAGAATGGGCTCCCTTCAGGCGAAGACAAAGAGCTCTCCATGTTTCCATAGATGTGAATCCTTGAGACGCCAACAGGAAGATCGATGATATGGAGGATATGAGACATGAGAGAAGGGATGAAGACTTTCCAGTCGCTAGAGCGAGTTCGATAGGTATATCTGCACAGCGACGCAAGCAAGACCATCCAGTGCAGATCCCAATCAGCGTATGCGACCACCCAACCCCATATTGACATGATCTCCTTTAAGAGCCTAAAGTCCACGTCCTCCGTTCGCTTCATGAGAAGGGTGAGCATCACCTGACCCTTCAGGCAAGATGCCGTGTGCTGCGCACAGAAGAAAGGCCGGAGGTGATTGACTATCTCGCCAACTGACTCCTTGTTGAAGTAGTGCCGCGCCGACCTCGCCAAGCATATGATGTAGTATCCAAGGTAGGGGCACAGTGGAGTCTGAGGGATCCTGGCCTTGCCGAAGAACAGGAAGTCAATCACTCGGTACAGCGGACGCCAATCCAGGACGATGTCTAACTTTTCTTGGCCTCGCTTTTTGAGAAGGCGGACGAGCTGTTGTGCAAAGATCTTCTGCAGGTATTGATCTAGGCCATCTTCCTCCGTCACCACTCGATACAGTGCATTGATGATCAAGGCTCTTTCTTTCACAGGCACGGTGTGCTTCAAGTCCATGTAGCGCTTCAACGCATGGACGGATTTCCTCAACAACTTGTGCCAATCGCCGCTGGCACAGCCATCGAGAATTCCCCGCACGATGGAGGGAAGATAGACCGACGAATCTGCTCTAACATCTTTCCCACATGGAATCCAGTCGTTGATCGTCAGCTGATTGGTTGCCGCTACCTCCCCCATCGTATTGATGTTCACCAATCGAGAGGGATTCGTTTATACCATGGGTCAACAAATCGATTTCCCTCACCCACCTGCCTATTTGCAGGGTGTGTGTATAAAGCTCCGCGCCATTTTCACTGCACAAGTACTCATTACAAACTCCGAGGTATCCAACAATCTCCGCGACAACAGCACCGAGTATGCAGTTTCGGATATTCGAGCGATACAAAGGACACACAAGATGCGGCAGGCGAGGCAGGATGGAAAGGGGGAAGAGGGGGGGTTGCAGTGCTGGGATCATATCAATATGCTGAATAGCGAGGGCAGTGGGTGGGAGGATACGGAAGGGTCGGATAACTAGGACAGAGACGTTCAAGTGAGTCTGGCAAGGATCCAAGACCTCCTATGCGAGAGCATGGAGCACAAGTGACATTGGATGTAACATAAAGAACATCTGCCAGCGAGGACCGCAAGGGAAACACCATTGTGCATATTCGGGGATATTCCTATACATCGCCGTCTTACCTGCATGGCGGCTGGAGGTGTTGAGGCTGGTTCCATGGGGTAGGGGTGAGCTGTGCTCGTTGATGAGTAAGGTGGGGTAGTAAAGGACCGCTGAATATTCCAGCATAAACTGGGGTAGAAGTCCTCAAGGTAATGGGTAGTGTCAAAGGGGGTAGTCGGATCCTGTGAATGTAAAAGGGCTGATAGAGGGTGGGTGGTAAAAGTAATGCAGGGGTGGCTGGCTGGGGTAAAACCCCCAGCGAGACAGGGGTGATTTTTGGGGTCGACGGGTAGTGATTCATGACCGGTCGTTTTCTCTGACTTTTTGGTTCTAGATCAGGTGGGTACTTGGGGTACTGGACATGAAGATGGTGACTGGGGTACTTGAATGGATAGTATGGGGTGGGGTGGTAGAGACATACTCCATTATCTTGACTATAAACCTTCGTACCAAAAAGTGAAAGTACCGGTGGGTTTATGCATGATTATGGATGGAAATGGGGGGTGATGGTGCTCAAAATTGATGGTCTGTAGTCAAGAAAAAGGCGGAATGCGGGGGGCGGCGGCAGTAGCGGTTGCAGCGACGCTGGCGATGGCGACCCTGGGTATTGTGGAAGCAGGGTAAGAAAACCAACGAATGACTGAAGGATACGAAAGTATGAGGTTGATTAGGATGGCTGGGAGAGGAGGGGGGAATGATGTAGATACCGAAGTGGGATCAGGCACTGAAATTGAGGTAAGCTCCGAAAAGATGGACTCGGGTAGCCTGCTCTTGGTATCTCACATATGACCCTGTTGACACCTACATGGCATTGTCACGAAAGTTCCTAGAGGTTGAAGTGGCTTTAAAGATGGGAGAGAGGCTTTGTGGTTGGATCTGTTAGCCTGTATCGAGCATGCATTGACGTTGAGGAATTAGGGAATACTCGAGCGTCATTGTTGGATGATTCACTGTGAGATCTACTCCTGCAGGTATCTATGGACACCTCCTATGCTCGACCAGATGAAGGAGACGGCACGTGCATTGGGGGCGAATGGTAAAGGCATTCTTGCAGCCGACGAGTCCATAGGGACGATCGGCAAAAGGTTCTCACACCACGGGGTAGAGAACAACGACATGAACAGAAGAAAATTCCGGCAGATGCTGCTCATGGCTCCAGACATTGAAAAGTACATCTCGGGCGTCATCCTCTTCGAAGAATCGCTGTACCAGCAATGCGACGACGGGACGCCTTTTGTGAAGTTGCTGCAACAGCGAGGCATCGAGGTCGGCATTAAGGTTGACACGGGCGTCGTTGAAATCCCCGGGACTTGCGGAGAGACTTCGACGACGGGGCTGGACGGCCTCGCCCAGCGCTGTGCATCGTACCAAAAACTTGGAGCAAGGTTTGCCAAGTGGAGATCGGTGCTGAGGATAGACGAGAGGAACGGGTGTCCGAGCGCCCTAGCGATACAGGACAACGCATGGTGCCTGGCGCGATTCGCTGCTGTCTGTCAGTCAAAGGGTCTGACGCCGCTGATCGAGCCGGACATCCTCATAGATGGCTCGCACTCGATCGAGCGGTGCTCCAAGGTCACAGAGAAGGTCCTGGCTGCGGTGTTCAAGGCGCTCATCGATAATCACGTGTGCATCGAGGCTATAGTTCTGCTGCCGAACATGGTGAGTTGAGACAGTGGGCAATCGGGTCTGATGGAGGGAGGTAGGTTCGTCCTGGTTCGGAGTCTATCCAGCCCTTTGCTCCTCTGGATGTGGCGGAGTATACAGGTAGCTGGCAAGGAGTTGTTATCGCCCGTTGACGAAGGTTTTGAAGTTCGGACGCTGATGAGAGTGGTTCCGCCGGGTAGATATTTTTGTCCTTGAGAAGCCAGCCTCACATTCGCTCTAGCTGTTTCCACCATCTGCTTCTTGTCGGGGGGGCAGGCAAGTGACTAGTTGATGATGTTTCTGTCCTCATCAATGATGATGATAGTCCGAAGACGAGGCCACCAATCACCTTCATGCTATAGTCAAGAAGGCCCCTCGGGACAGGTGAGCCTGTGCAGGTGAGGATGACGTCGACTCGTGATTGAGTGGAGCTGCAGACCGTGGGCGCTGACCTTCTCCTTCGGGAGAGCGTTGCAGGTTCAGCCTTGACCTCCCTTCCCTGCAAGTGCTGATGTATGGTGACCTGCAGAGCTCCGCTCTCAAGGCATGGGGAGGCGAAGATCACAAGCTGAAGGCTGCTGCGGAGGTTAGAGGAAAGGGCGAGGAGCAAGGCAGTATGACCCTTATTGTCGCAGGTGTTTACGGAGCGAGCCAAGTTAAACTCAGAGGCAGCGAAGGGGGTGAGATGATACAGGTGAGCAAGGAACTTTCAGTCGAAGCGCATGATGACGAGTTGTGAACGAAGATGCGCTCATGGGGGTATGAGAAACTTGAAGATCACGGCTTGAAGGAGACAAGTCTTGTGCTGTTAATAGATAACCTGTACACAGAGCTCACATACACGCTCATCGTCCTATTTACAGTCGGAGAGGGCAGCACTGACTGAACCAGAAGATTTCGGTGGCTCTTCTATCAAGACAAGGAGGCGAAACCTGCGACGTCCTCTGATGCCTTCAAAAGCCTGTCGACCCTGTCGATCGACTCGTAGATGCTCGCTGTGGCCCCGTAGTAACCAGGTTGCTGCGGCCGCTTTCTGCCATCATACGAGGAAGCAGACGAAACTGCTTGCGTCCCCATGTTCTCTCGCCTCAGGACAGTCTCCCTTATGTCCTTGGGCTCGGAGTGACCTGATCGACCGGAGTGGGCGTCCTGGGAGAATTGCCACTCCTGGTCTGCTATTGGTGGGCTCACCATAGTTGATAGCTCTGAACCTGCCCTCCAGCCCCCCGCGTCATCGATCCCGTCTGAGGAAAGTTGCTGCTGAGAGGGGGACATGGGGGACCAACGGCTCGCAAGGGAAGGAATGAACTCGGGGACGATAACCTGTCAAGAGAGTAAGACGAACAAGAAACTGAGGAGGGAGCAACGCACCGGCTCCCCGTTAATGTGCGAGAGGACGTAATCTCTCTCGACGTATTTCAGGCCAGGAATGTCAGACGTTGAGCTGTCAGGCTTGTGCTGCGTCAACAAGAAGTCAGATACGGGGTAGATAAAAAGGAAGTTAAAAATTTACAGGGGAGCCTCCGCGTGTCGCCTTGCGCCTTGCAACTTTTCTGATTGAGTGACGAGATGCAGGTTTGATATTCAAGTGACTCAAAGTTGAGTGTATGTTGGCAATCAGCGAATGTAGTTGACACAGCTCACCACAACCTTGTCACTGAGTCACTTTCTCAAGAATCCTTCCGATCTTAGACCTACCATGCTTTGCACGCTGGTGTTTTACCTTGACGGACTGTTTCGGCATCCTGACTAGTTTCGTCTTGTTTCTCTGAACAACCTGATGGTGTCGAAACGCTGTAGTGAGCTCCTGCAGAACAGCCTTGCCCGTTGCCTTCTCAACTTTGCTCTGATTTCCGAGCACCGACACATTCATGATCTTCAAGATAGAAGATCCAATACTTTGAGCACTCGACGACAAAGATCGCGGGATCGTACTCAGACCGTCCTCTGTTTCGTTGACTGGCGGCGATGCCATTTCGGTGTCATGGACCTCAGAGATCTGTTCATGAGAGAACAGCATCGCAAGAACAGCTTTCACAGCTCCTGCTGTTGCGGATTCAATGACTTGCAAGTCACTCGGCTTCTCGCCCTTGCGCGCGCTGCTGGCCGTCGTTTCACTTCGTTGAACGCGGAGCGAAAGATTCCTCAGAAAGCCCTCGAGCGCTAACAGATCCTTGCTCGCATGTCTCAACACTGCATCCGAGTCCAACAGCGTGCGAGATATGATCGATGCATTGACTTCCTTCAGCGAGGTGGCTCGGACAGGCTCGTCCCATGCATGAGGCTGTGACATAGGTGCCTTGTACGGCCCTGATCTCAGCGTTGTCGTTGAAGAGCTTTTGAGAAAGGTGGTGGATGGGAAGGTGTTGGGAGCTCTTGATGATGCTTTGAACAGGTCCGAGAGCATTCTTGCCTGGTAGGGTGTAAGACGGTCTGTTCTCTTCGATCGTACACTCCTCGCGCCAGTGTTCAGTCTTTCCGGGCGGGCATGATAGACAGGTTCCGTATTTCGCAGTCCTTGCTGATCGCTCGGTATGGGAGCGGTTTGCAGCTGCTGCATTTGATGGACCTCCCTCTGCTTCCTTTCATCCATCCAACGGCGGAATTTTTCATCCAGCACCCGTCGGCTGGCGTCCTTCCTCCCATGGTCCTTGCTCCCTTGACCCACGATAAGGTGGCTGATCAAATCGTCGTCGCTCCCGTCAGACCCTTGCAGCTCCTCAGCACTTCTCTGCAGCCTCCTCTGAAGGGCTTCAAGACGCAACTTTGCACTCTCTCTCCCACCATCGATGCCTCTCCATCTTCTCTCCATGTCCCCACGCTGCTCAAGTTCACTGGCAGGTCGCCCCATGTGCTCTCGAGCAGCCATGTCGCTTCCAACAAGGAGCGCAACCACCAGTAGCCCCACCGTCCCGAGTGCCCCCGCTCCTACAAGCCTCGCATTCCTGCTGTGTCTCCCACCCTGCTGCATCCTGCCCCCCATTGTTGCCCTCCCGTCCCCTCCTCCCTCCGCCATTTATAGCATTCTCCTATTTCCGGGCGACCGTTGTAACTACTGTCGGTTACAGCAGTTTCAGGACCCCGACCAAGTTCAACCGGTTACATCCGATCGAGTACAAGATCGGAAGGCCAAAAATGCAGGGAGGAAACCGGTGGGGTAGAGCCGAAGTGAGGGATGGAGAGACAAGGGAGGGAAGAGGGAGATAGAGACAGTTACATGCATGTGTGTAGATTGAAACCCAGAAGAGTATGAGAGATGGTCGCCTGTAAAGCACCGTGTCGACGAACTTTGCCGCGGGTGTTGCAAACCCTAGCTAGGAACCTGGTTACGACATGTGACTGATGCAGGAGCCTTCTCGAGCCACAGCCATGATGCTTGACGATGATCTCTGCAGATGGAACCAAGTGGATTGGAAGCGCAGGATGATTCTGAGGTGGACATCTATTTGGCCAGCGAGGACGAGCTTGGATCGTTCATGGCAGAGCACGACGAAACTCTGTCAGTGTGCGACGACTTTGAACGTACACGAGCTCCTCTCTCGTTGTCGTACTTACCCGGTGCTGGCAGCGCTCAGGATAGCGGGCGAGAAGATCTCCATGGCGTTCGCAGACGAGCCCTCAAGAATGTACGGGGAGCTCTTGAGACTGTGCAAAGAAGTGGTCAAGGCACTGCACGAGACGAACCACCATGAGATGTCCGATGCCTTCAAGATGCTGAAGATGATCGCGGCTGATGCGGTCCAGAGAGCAGAGCAGCATGTGAGTGCATTGCGGCGGTGTGTTTGCACGAGCTCTTTCCTTGTCTCCTTACTCCTCCCCTGGAGTCTTGTCTGACCCTCTTTTCGCCGCCATCCAGCTGCCGCCACCTTTGCAAGAGGAGGAAGCAGCTGCCGATCCAGCAGCCTCAGAAAGTCCTGAATTGAGGACGAGCATGCAGCGAGAGCTCAAACCTGGCTCAAGGCGCCCAAGACCCCAGGTAACCCTACATCATGATACTATGTTTGAGTGATACGATGATACAGGCTCCTCAAGCGGGGGGCAGACCGACGGGCTTGTTCGCGAATCTGTTCTCGGGGTTCGGGTGGAAGCAGTCCATCCATGGGGGAAGGATAGGTGTGCGGAAGGTGTCTCCGAACCCCGTTCTGTGCGATCAGCTCTGTTCTAACGGGTTCTCTCGCGCCGATGTGCTCAAGGTAGAGGAGTGGGGACGTGTTCCCAGGAGGGTGATGAAGTGCAGGTGCTGGTCCGTGTGCAGAATGATGCTACGAAGGCACTTGAGATCCTCACGGGCATGTACTCGACCTCCAGTGTGGACGAGGTACGCACTCCCATGCTCTCCGTGTGCGACGGTGCTGAGAGGAGGGAACAAAAAGGAGCTCGTGTCACAGATGGAAAAGCTGGGGTTTGGAAGGGAAGACGTGGCTTTGGCACTGAAAGAGGTCCCTTCCTTCCAACCCGGCCCCCACCCTCACCTTCACCTCCTTCCTTCTTCTCTGCAGCCTTGCGCGCGCGCCTCTCCCGTGCGACGCTAATTTCCTGTGCTTGTAGACGCAGAACGAGGAAGTGCTGGCGTTGGAGATTCTCACTGACAGGGACAGGATTGCTGCTCTGCGCGCTAAGGAGGAGCAAAGGCGCAAGTTAGAGTTGTTCGACGAGGATGAGTTCGAGTTTGTGAACCTCGATACTGATGCAGACTGTAAAAGATCGTGACAGTCTTATTGTTTCCTTATTTTACATGTAAATACGCTCGGTGCCGCAACTTGCTACCTCGATCCCTCGTTGCTTCGCTCTTCCCACCCTCCTTCAAAGAAACAGAGAGAGCAACGTGTGAGTTGTTCTTCTGTCGATCATTCATACAGCTGATAACATGTCTTCCTTGCTGGGTCCTTCTCCTCAAGTGCAGTTTCCCTCCCCTCCACCATCGTTCTTTTCCCCTCTATCCCCTGTTCCTTTTCCCGGCCTTCGGTGGTCAACTTACTTCAGGGACGATGAACTTTATTAAAGGGGGTGGGGGTATCGACACTTAGAGAAGGAGTCTGGGGGGTAGTATTTCAAATGAGGGGGTGATAGTAACAACATGAAGGCAAATTCTTTTAAAGTGGGGTACATTTAAGGATATTTGGAGGGGTGTCATCATTGCATGTGATTGTGAGTGGGTAGGGTGTTTCGGGGAGGTAGGGGTATCGAGTCAACAGGTGTTTGATGGTGGGGCGAGCAGGGGTGGTCAGGACTAACGGTTGGCTTCATGGCTGATGAGCGTCGGAGGGAGGAGGGAGGGGGAGGAGCAGGAGCAGGAGCAGGAGCAGGCGGCGATCGAAGGCTGATGGAAGATGGTGCCGGTGGTGAAGGAGGATCATGGGAAGCAGAGTACATGGCTAAAGGGAAAATGTATGGAGCGGCAGCCGCGGCCGATGCAGAGAATGGCGGCGGTAGCGGGGTCGCGCATGCGCCGGCAAATAGACCGTATATCTCCCCAGATGAGGCGGCGGATCTCAAGCGGAGAATCAGGCAGCACGATCAGATGTATGCTGCCATGCAACAGCAGAGCAAGCCCTTCGATGCGCTGGAGCACCTGGAGAAAGGGCTCTTTGTCCGGAAGGAGCTGTTCGGCCCAGATCACCCTGAAGTCAGCAAGGTCTGTCAGATTTTTACAACCAGCTGCAACACTCTTGCGATGAACAGCCTTCAGAGAGGTATGCTTCTCCTCCGCCATGACGTGCCCTGCTCTTGCTGCCTGCCTGACTTTTCGCCCCCTAGACAACCACCTGCTGGCCTATGAGCTGCTGAAGAAAGCTGAGATCCTCACGTCCCCATCGGGTTACATCCGAGACAAGAAGATGAGGATGAAGCTGAGAGCGGTCACCTTCAACAACTTCGGCTGCTTCTACAAGAGGAGGGGCAAGCTCCATGCCGCTCTCCAATACTTGGCGAAAGCGCTCAAGATTGAGCTCACGAGCGAGGAGGTCGACAACCCGGCAGGAACTCACCTGAACCTGTGTGCGACTCTGTCACAGCTAGGAAGGCATGGCCCTGCGTTGGAGCATGCTCAGTGCGCCCTCGAACTCCTGGAAGCCATGGCCGCGTCGCGCAAGCAGAAGGTTCGCGAGGACGAGAATGGCGGAGGAAAGAACGCCACGGACGACGCGAGCATCTTGGCGATCGCCTGGCACAACCTGGCGGTGGAACAGGAGCATCTCAACATGGTCGACGAGGCTCTGGCCTCCTATGAGCAGGCGGTCAAGGTTGCAGAGAAGGAGTGGGGCGAAGGGCACATCAAGACTCTAGCGATCAAGCACAGCCTTGAGGAAGCGAGGTCCAAGACAAAGAACAGACGATCGCACAGTCAGCGCCCTGCGGTCTCGCAATCCCATGGGCAGTCGCCTCTGCAGTCAGTGCTGAATCCGCACAGGTTTCTTCCTGAGCATGCTGCGCTTTGAAGAGCGTCTAACCCACTCGTTAGTTCTAGCTCCCAGCTCAAGTTCGCCAAGAAGTCAACCCTGCGGAGCACGTCTCCTACCAAGGCCAGGTACTGCTGCTGAACAGCGTCGTGTGCGGTGCTGAGGGGAGATATGCAGGACAAAAGCATCGTTCATCAAGGCCTACAGCGGCAACCAGTCCATCTTGCGCGGCTCGCACACCATCCAGGGGTTCCCCAGGGGCAACGTGAAGACGTCCTACTCGGCGTATGACTTGAGGGGCTCGAACGAGCAGCTTCCTCCCATCGCCAAGAGCGTCACCTACGACACCCACGAGGATGCTCCCAGAGCACACACGACGTTCAGCAACACTTCCTTCACCGGGGACCTGCCGGAGTTGGCGGACAGGAAGGGCCCCAGGACCCCCTCCCCTCCACCTGACGAGCTTCCCTCTCGACCGAGGAGATAGCGAAGTCCGTGTTTGTGGGGCAGGGTGCTGGGCATGTTGCTGGGAGTACTGGGGAGGTTCTGTAAATATTGGCAAACGTTGTCAAGTGTTTCGACCTGCTCCATGTCCCTTGCTCTTCTCGTTCCAAGTTTGTTGTGCTCCTCTCACCGTAGACTGTTCCAAGGGTAATACCGTGAGCAGCAGCACCCGCTGATGCTTCTCACGCTTGCCGCGTCCCTCTCCTTGCTCGCGCATTACTGGTTGTGAACCCAGCTGGAACGATGGCCCTAGAGGGCGAACTTGAACCCCACCAGCCCTAAGTCAATGCGAAGAGGCATAGAAGGGATCAAGGGATCTTCTTCTTCTGCTGCCCCTCCTGCCCTATCGGTAGCGGCTCTCTTCTCCCCCACGACGAGCTTCGTTCATGTCCTCCCTAACCTCCCCCGACGTCCCCTCCCCATCCTCCTCACCAAGCTGAGACTTGTCTCAGCTTGCGACCACTTGAGTTCCAGGCTCGCTCACAAGCATGCGCGTGCAACCTGCTCAACTCGGATCTGAGAGGCGACATCTGCAGCATCGGCGACATCGCCACGGGCGCTCGGCATGCCCGGTCGTTTTGGCGGGAAAGAAAAAAGTCAATCAGCGACAAACTTGCATGGCGGATCTCCTAGTGAGATACAAGAAGCTGCTGGAGGTCGCCGCCCCGTCCAATGCCACCCCCACCCCCCACCCTTTTCTACCGCCGCCGCCGCCACCACCACCACCACCAACTCCTCCTCATCCTCATCCTCCTCCTCATCCTCCTCCTCCTCCCCCTCCTCCTGCTCAGTACTGCCCATGTCCCTGTTTCTGCTTCTGCCTCTGCCTCTGCTTCTGCTTCTTCCCCTCTTTCTCTTCTCATGTCCCGTCCTGTCTCCCTCCATCCCGTGCTCACTCCTCTCCTCCTTCTGCCGTTTGTCCGCCTTCTGCCTGTCCTCGATGATTTCAGCACCAGGATGCGCAAGAGGAGAATCGGATCCTCCGGCAGTCAGCTGACCAGGTTGCTTGCCCTGCCCACTAGCCGTGCTGAGAGGATGAATCTCAGCATGAGAGGGAGAAGATGCGTCTGCTTGCGAACCTGCGGCACGCCGAGGACCAGGCAGGTTCGCTTGCTCCTACCTGCTCGCTCTTAGACTTGCAGTCAGGTTCGAGCCAAGGACAGGCAACTCAAGAGGCTGCAGGTAACATCGTGAAGCCCTTGTGCTTGAGGACGAGACTCGTGACTGATCCTGCTCTGCAGAGGAGAAGCAGCCCTGACAAGGACATGGTTCGAAGGGCCGTCCCGAAACCAGCGCAGACGCATGCGTCGGAGTTGGACTCGTCCTACCATGAGCAGCATGGCAAGCGGACCATGCACGTCTCGCATCTAGAAGATAACGGCATCGGGGGGAGTGCTCCTGAAGAGGAGGATGGGGAGAGAGGAAGCCCTCCAGGAGCCCACGAGCATGTGGAATGGTTGGATATGATCCAGAATTTGACAAGCGCAGTGCGGTCAACGTCTGACGGTGCCTCCTCGTTTCGTCTCAACATTTCCCTGTCGTCCTCCACCTTGCGTCCTCCTCCTCCTCCTCCTCCTCCTCCTCCTCTTCCACTGCCACCACCACCACCATGCGTTCTCCTCCACCACCACCACTTCCTCCTCCTTCTCCTCCACCTCCTCAATTGATCACATCTGGCAACCAGAGGCGATTGAACCTCCGAAGCTCAAGGTTTGGGGGACAGAACCTGCCTCGTTCCATATGTCACAGCCCCGAACGCTAGATGTAAGAGATGCAAAAATGGTTCCATTCGTCATAATTTTGTTGGTCTGCCTGCCTGCCTGCCTGCCTGCCTGCCTGCCTGTATGTTGAGCGTCGGTGGATCGTTCATCATGATTCTCTTTTTCGCTCTCTGAACCTCAACATCACATCATCACCCTCATCATTTTCATTGACATGATTATCTCTGTCTCCTTTTCCTGTTCGTTGCCCTCCTTGACTGCTAGGCAGGGACAAAAACGAAAGGTTCACGATATCGTGTCCAAGACGTTGAGGAGCAGCAAGAAGGACGTGAAGGAGTTCATAGACGTGATGGACAGCATATCTCCTTCCATCCGACAGACAAATCTCCGAGAGATCGCGGAGATGATACACATATTCGGGAGATCGATTATGGTGGGAGAAGCTCCAAGTTGTGCAGTATTATGATAGTTGTGATCGCAAAGGTGATGAATGCAAACATACGAGCGCTGTCGTCACAATCCACCTCATTCTTCGAGCTTCTCAAGGAAATCCCTGATGCCCTTTTCACGGAGCGGTGTTGACCTGACAGTCCAGGTGTTCTCAGCCTCTCTCTCGAATGCGATGGATTGTGAAGGAGTTCAATTCTTTCAGAATGATCAGAAGACGAACGAGGTACCATTCGCTCCTTTCCCCCCCATCGGTGCATCGCTGTTGTACTGGATGACCTGAACTGTTCCAACTGATCCACCTCTTGTGCCTTGTGGCGTCTGACTTAGTTTCTCCTCTTCAGATTCGAGCTCTGATCCCGAAACCGACGGACAAGCTGTTCGTCGTCAACCAGTTCTTGTGAGCTCACCTGTGCTCACAACATCTCCACCAGTGATGGGCCGCGCAGAGCTGAAGACGTCTGTGTTGTGACCAGGTGCATCGAGAAACAGGTTGACGTACTTGCCTGAAGCGAGACTGAAGTCCTGAAGCCCTCCCATGGCGTTGACGCGAGCTTTCATGCAGGAAGTTGTGAACCTGCCGTTCCCCGCATCCTCCTCCCCCTTCTTCTCCGCCGCACGAGATTCCTTCCCCGGTTCCAAGTTCGTGTCCAACATGCTCTGCTGCCCGGTGCTGCAACAGGTAGGATGGTAGAGTGTCTCAACAAATGTCACTCTACTGACTACCTCGTGACACGTCTTTGATGTGTTTGAAGGAGGGAGGAGAGCTTTCATGTGGTGGGGCCATCGCATTCTTCAACAAGCGATCAGGTGCGGTCCAGACGGGAGGAGGGCTGAGAGTGTGACACCAGAGGCTGCAGGAGATTTTGACGTCTCGGATGCGTTTCTTGCAAAACAGATTTCAGATGTTTTTCTGTAAGGGAGGGAGGAGGGAGGGGGGAGGGGGATGGGAGACAGAGAGAGAGACAGAGAGAGAGAAGAAGGAGAGGAAGAGAAGAAGAGGAGATGACGATTGGGGATCAGGTGTCTGTTGGGAAAATTCAAAGATGAGATTCTGACGGAGGAGCTGAGACGTGACGTGCTGTCGTTGGAGACCTTGTCAGTGGATTACTCGTCAGGTGAGGAGTCGAGGAGGGAAGAGCATGCAGCAGGAAGAGGACATTCGGAAGGATGACGACAAAAGAGAAAGAAAGAGGAGGATGAGGAAGTGGTTGTGGTGGATCTTTCAATTCTTGACTCATTATCAGAGCTCGACACCGTATCAAGCTTTCTCTTTGCGATTTCAGATAGCATGAAACAGGTGCAACCCTTTCATGTTTTATTCCCCTGCGGTAATGACGACGCGAATGCTGCCCTTCATTTACTTTCCTGCTGCTCCTTTCAAGTTTTCACCAGCAGCAGTACCGAGACTAAAACTACTCTCTTGCAATCACCAACACCAACACCATAACCACCATCATTCCCCCTTGATTCATGCTTTCAACCACTATCTCTCTCTCTCTCTCTCTCTCTCTCTCTCTCTCTCTCTCTCTCTCTCTCTCTCTCTCTCTCTCTCTCTCTCTCTCACTCTCTCTCACTCTCACTCTCTCTCTCACTCTCTCTCTCTCTCATCTCCAGCTAACACAACGAGCTTTTCTTGATTTGTCGCTCTTTCCTCCTCTCAGATGATTCGGGCCAACCGGGTCGACCTGTGGACAGTGGGGAAGACGAACCAGGGAGGACAAGAAGAGTACGTCATAGCACGGAACATCCCGCATCTCCTCCTCGCCTCCTCCAAGTGAGCAGCAGCACATGACATGATCCTGCGTCCTCTGACCTACAGGGAATCTCGCAGGAGGAAAGTCAGTGACAAGCATGTCATCAGTCTCAACGAGGAGCAGGACATCAGCCCCGACGATGACAAACTCCGCAAGTACCCTCGTCCTGCCCGCATCCTCTTTTCATCCCTTCCTTCGCCCTTCCCAACGTCTTTACCCTGCAGTCTCCCCTTATCCTCTCTTCCTCCTGACCTCTTCCTCCGCCCCCGTCACTACTCCCCCTCCCTTTCTTTGTCTCGCTTCCCTCTTTAAATCTTTTCGGATCTGCAGAGCCGTGAAAGAAGGCTCCTTACTCTATGAGCCTCACAAGCTGTTTCTTCCTCTCCGTCTCAACAACGGCTGCGTGCTTGGCCTTCTTGCCTGCTACAGGAGTAGAGAGGAGGAGGCATTCAGCGAGCATGACTTGAGGAAGACAAGCCAATTCGCGTGAAATCTCCCCTCCATCCCTCCCTCCCTCCCTTCCTCCCTCCATCCCTCCCTCCCTCCCTTCCTCCCTCCATCCCTCCCTCCCTCCCTTCCTCCCTCCATCCCTCCCTCCCTCCCTTCCTCCCTCCATCCCTTCCTCCCTCCCTCCCTTCC